AAACGAAGAAAGAATGGTGTAAGTAAACTCTTTTTGCTGATTTTTCATGTACGTGTATGTACATAATAGTTATTATGGCTTGGTTAAGTTTTTTTAGTGTTCTGGCACTGTCCTAACAAATTGTCACTTCTGCCTATCTGTCATTGAGCTGTGGTGCTCCAAGTCAAATGGTGCTTGGAGCTGTTAGCGCTCTTTGGCCTTGATGGAAGCCCAAATGGTGAATAATGATAAACATGGTATTCCAGGTCAAATGGTGCTTGGAACTATGGGCACTTTGAGCCTTTGTGGGTGCTGAAAGACTTCATATAGAATTTGCTCTGAGTCAAATAGTGCTTGGAGCTGTGTTTCTGGGCCTTCGTAGGTGCCCAAAGAATGAATATTGATATAATGTGTCGCATGCAAAATAAGTCGGCTGCCCAGATTTCGGTGCCCGACACATCATTATGATGAATAAATTCCTTCTGGCTGAGGCGTGCACACACACCAGCATTTTTGTCATTGTATGTTTCATGTTGTCTGCTTATAAATACCCTTGTCTAAGAGTAAATCGACATGATGTTTAAACCTTTCACTGAGTAATTTAAAATTGTTTCTGGAGCAATTCTTAACCAAGCGATCGAGTGAAGCGGCCATGAAATGAAAAAAGTCGACAAATCAAAGTTGGCCAAACAAGAATGAAATATAATTTTCAGCATTTTTAGCCATTACTTTGATTTTCCCACCGTTGAATGCACGAGCACCTTGCATAATTAGATGCACGTCATAGTTTTCCAAGTTATGTAAGATCACTGGAATGGGAGTGTGTTTAGGTATGACTCGGAGTTTGAGATTACAGTTGGCATGTGCTGGGTTGCAATATTTACCCATGACGTGGCAATGTTCTCTGACCTTTCTACGTTTATTGATGGTTTTTTTCGCTGCTCATACAAATGTAGGCGGTGAAGTCTATCTTTCGGGATTCAGTTTTTGGTCCTCTGCGGATAGGACATTGGCACTGTGATTCTTTGGTAGGATAGATATGCTTCTCGCAGATCCAGCATCTGTTGCGTGCATCGTGTTGTGTTTGTAATTTAGGCGACCAACCAAGTGATTTTGGTTTGGCTAACGTTTCGTTAATTGTTTCTTTTTCTCGCAAAAGAGACTCTATAAAATGAGTTGCGGCATCTTGTCCTCGATATGTTTTGCAACTCATGCAGACACCGTCGCAACGCACAACTGGGTAAGAGTAACCCACAGTTTATGATGTTGAGTTTTAATTGTGTTGGCCTCTTCAGGTGAAAGAGGCTCTAAAACTGATTCAAAATCTGCTTAAATGACAAATGGGGCATCCTGTTGATTTTTGTAGTTTTCAAATTTGAGAATGTTCTTACCTTTTTTCGGGTAGCGTGACTTACTTTAGATGGAGTGACGTCTATTCCTTCACAGTCTTTTTTGTGTTTGTCTAGTCTTTGTTGGCTTTGAAGTGAGAGAAACACCTAAAGCAAAAATACTTGTTTCACTTGTTTTTGTTGATATCGGCCATCAGCCTAGAAAAATTTTTAATCCAACAATAGTGAGCTTTCTCACCGTTGCTAAAATATAGTAGGTTAATCGTTAAGTGGTGTAACCAAATACATTGATCGCCAAGTTGTTTTGGGTTTCAATACCAGAAATTTGTGATAACAGAGTAGGGAAGTCAACATTTGTAAATTGTAAACCGTCCGTTGTTGTTTTGTACGTTGAAGTTTTATCTTCGTGTAATTTTATATCTCGGATTAGTTTCAAGTTGATGTTTGACATTGTCTCTTATGAGACCTTTAGCTTTTACTGTCTGTCTTTCTTCTTTTTGACGTTGATGGTCGCTTTTTTTAGTCTGCTAACTTTTTGGGTAGTGGTTTATAACTAGCTCCGAACGGATTATAGAGCACCACGTTGATATAAAATGCAACAACATTGTCAAATACCCATCTAGAACCCCTTTGGGTATGATTGTCGACTTGCTGCATTTGCTTCTTTTTTGTTCTTCTAACGCGTTTTTGACATCTTGTTTGTGAAACACTTTGGCATTTCTACTGGTAAGCATAAAATTACCTACAGTACTTTAGTCTCTTGTTATCAGGTCTTTCTATTTTAAACTGGACTTTGATCGCTGTTTGCAACTTGTAAGCTCCTATCTCTTGAAATTCGGCCAATGCTTTCTCTTCGGTGTACCTTTTGTAGAAATAAAAAAGGTGTACTAGATCATCTTCAAAGAAACTAGGTTTCAGTTCCCAGTTTCTAAAATTTCCTTGAAATTGTTGGGCGTTTTAGATATCTACCTCTGCCATTGCTTCCTGTTGAGTATAGGCTTTAATCGTGTTGATGAGATCTTTTCGTAGCACATGACCATGCGGACCCATAGCTGTAAAGTTTATTTGTTTATCTTGTAATATCCGTAAGAGCTGATGATATGTTTTGCGCTGTGGACTTTTGAATGGGCGTTGACTCGCTTGGATTGCTTGTATGAGTTCTGGTTTAGTATTTTGATGACCCTGAGGTGGGGGCATTTTATTTTGCCTGACAAAGTCGGATAAAAATGACTTTCTATAGTATCTAAAGGTAGAGAGCACTGGTCTTGCATCTCGGTTATTTGGTCTATTCCTTTTGATTTCTATTAACCTTTTGTATAATATCTAAAATTTTCTCAAATTAATTTAACCCAGGCTCAAATCTATTTTTAATATGTAATTATTTTTCCAATTTTTTTTTTTACAATCAACCAAATGTTTTATTGTAATGTAGCTTAGCTTCAAGGCTTGGTGTATTTTTGTCATAATGTAATAATAATATACAGTCTATTAAATTTTCACAATCAAAGCAATTAATACAATTGACATAATTAAAACACAATGCACAATCTTTGCAATGCAACGAATTAAGGCACCCTCTGTAATGAATATTTATTTCAAAGTCTTTATTTGCAATACATAATCTACAACCAACCAAATCTATACAATCTTTGCAACCTTCACGATATTCACAACTTATGCAATCTACACAATCTTTACAAAATTTGCAACTTTCGCAAGTAACACAATCTTTACAATTTTTACAATCAGTACATTCAGCAGAATCTTTACAACCTTGGCAATCACAACAAACAGCACAATCTTTACGATCTTTACAATCATCACAAGTAGCACAATTTGTACAACCTTCACACCGTTCAGTATATACGCAATCATTACAACTCACAGAATCTTTGCAATTAAAACTTTTAACACAATCTACACTGTCTACACATTCTTCACATGCTTGGCAAAAGTGACACACAAAACACCCTTACTATTGGGTGCAACTTTTAGACGATAACTTTTAAAGAGATAAGTTTTAGATTCTTGATTAGATTCCTGTTTCGGTTTGCATTTGCATCTTTGTCATCGTCTTCTGTTTGGCATCTCGATTTTGGTTTTAGTGTTGGGGGATATTTTTTAATTTGCTTAAATGTGATGATATTTTCAATTTTTTAACCCCCATGGGGGTCGGGTAGAAAAGGTGTGTCTAGAACCCCCCTCCTACCTACTCAAGGCACGTTCAAGTGTGGTTCTAACAGATGTGTTGTTAGTCAGAACCATGTCACAGTCCATGCTTGGTTGATTCTCCGTTTTC